ATACACCTGGGCAAACTCCAGGCCAGGTTCCGACTGCCTTAAACTTGCCGATGACCAGAATGAGCAGAGCACGGCGAAAAACACAGAGGATGCCGAGCCTAAATTCGCCCTGTACCTTTCTCGGCCTTTTGGCTAAGATCAAGTGTAGTATCTGTTCTGATCAGTTTAATATCTGATCCGTGGTCCATCGGGAAAAAAAAAAAAAAAAAAAAATTGCCCTGCGCGCCCAAAAAGAAAGGAACCGACGCAGGCCTGCTTTTGGCTGGCGCCGCCAGCCATTTCGGTCAGGTACCCAAACCCCCAAAAAATGCGGCCGTAAACGAGCTGCATAGTATTATTTGTTTTTCAAGCGGGTAAACGTAATCTCTGAACCGTATCATGTGTTGACGGATGAACTAAGTGACACTAGACCCATTTTCCAGCAGGTGCTTCTCCCCACCGATAGACAGGAGCAAGTTCTAGTAGGAACTAGAAAGAAGTGAAAGAAAACCTTGAGGACTGTGCATCCTTTTCTTCTTCGCTGACCTTTTTTTTCCCCAGCTATGCATGCATGCCAATGGGGACAAATGATTTTCTATCTTTTTTTTCTTTTGTTCATGCTCTCTCTCTCTCTCTCTCTCTCTCTCTCTCTCTCTCTCTCTCTCTTTTTCTTTTCTGATCTTCTCTTTTTGTTTAAATTTCAGGTTTTTAACCGTTACGAGGAAGAGATAACGAGGCTGACGGAGGGGATGCGTCGTCTTCGAGAGAAAAATGAAGCTCTTTCTATTCCTTGCCAGCGGGTTTACCCTTGGACACCACCGTTGGTAAGGGGACTCCTCGAAGAGCATACTCACACTAACATTGTAATGGCTGAATGTGAACGGAACTAAGGTCACATACATTCACTATAGTCTTAGTGTGAGTATGCCCTTAAACCACCAGTACTTTTCCCAGCCATTTCTCCACGCGGCAGTGCTCGCGCCGCGTCTGGTCGGATGTATCGACCCGCTGATTCGCTAGAAAACATCCAGCCTGGGATTCCAGGCAAAACACATTGCATCCATGGACTGTTTTGCCTGGATGTATTTTTTGCGAACCAGCGGGTCGATACATCCAACCAGACACAACGCGAGTGCTGCCACGTTGTAGAAAAATGGCTTCCAGTGGGAAAAGTACGGGTGCAGGGCTATGTGCTCTGCGGCCTCTGCCTAGTCTGCATTAACCTGGTCGGTATGTAAACCAGGTTAACTTTGTGTTAGGCGAGCTCCAACACCAAGGGTACGCCCTACTGATGGAATTGTCCGCCAGCATGGCCTGAACCTGGTCCCAAATGCATGCCAGGTTCATGCTATGTCTCCACTGAACACCAAACACAAATGAAGATGCCTCATCCCAAGTCTGTACTGCCATCATCACTCTTTGAAAACAGAAAAAAAAAAAACATCCCCCGAATCCCCCAATTGTATTTGTCCAGTCCAGCCATCCTTGATGGGCACCCCTTCACGCGATTCACGGACCCCATCGTTTCCCATCTTCCTCTCCTTTTCCCATCCTCCACTCCCCTCCGTCCTTCCCCTCCTCCCCCCCTCCACCTCTCTTCCCCTCCCTCCCCCTTCCTTCCTCTCCATCCTCTCCTCTGCTCTTGTCCCATTTATTTTCTTGCCCTAAAAGGCTAAGAGGTTAACGTAATAACAAGAAGAAAGATCGGACTTGAAGAGGCCCATGGTGCCGTAACCAGGTTGCTAAAAGGGTGTCAGTTCAGATTTCAAACCCCAACTTACAGGATTTGGAAGTGGTGGAGTTATCACTGGTCGCCTGTGATACTCAAACGGACATGAACGTACTTACCCCTTTAGTTGATATCCAGCTGCCTACCTCAATTGGTTAGGCAACCAAGTGGCATTCAGGAGGTTATGTGCTCGAGTCCCACAACTATCTGCAGCTCATGTAGTGCCAATCAACTGCGACTTGGTGCTCCTGATAGGTACTAGTGACTAGCACTGCCACTGTCTATATGAACAGAATCAAATGGCAGTCGAGAACAAGGGGAAGTGCAGAAGTCTATGAGAAGTCCTTTTTTTTTTTTTTTTTATTTAACCACTAGTACCTTTGCCGTTTCAGAAATGAGGGAAAACACCGGCTCCCGAGGAATTCAGAACCCCTTTCCCACCACATGTCCGGAAATTAAGAACCCCGTTCCCACCACATGTCCGTTTTTACGAAATCACTGTTACTGGGCCCTGTTCCCACCACTTGTCCGTTTTGATGAAATCGCAGTTACTGGCCCCTGTTCCCATCCCAGGAATAAGATCGGAGCCATCACAAAGGCTGACCCTCCATCAGGCATGGGATCGTGTCCCGGTCTGTTTTTTTTGTGTGTGTGTTGCTCACGGATCAGTAATCTACTGTGAAGGCACCGGTGGAACCTGCGGGATGATGGCCTATTGGACTGTGCGTGTGACCGGCATAAATAGCGGTGGTGGTCCGCGTGCCCTTGGGACGGAGTGTGCGTGGATTCCCGTGTCCATGTGGTGTTGTGTGCGTGTGTGTGGGTTGGACACTACTGCCCTGCGGGGATGGGGTGGATATCACGACCGGTAGGATTCCACTTTGGTGAACTGATTGTATGTGGACTGCTGTGTCCGTGTGATGTTGCATGCGGTGTCTGTGCATTGGACACTACCGCCCTGCAGGGGTGGGGTGGATATCAGGACCGGTAGGATTCCACTTTGGAAAACCGCGTTGGGGCTGTAGTGGTTAAGAGACTTGGTACCTGTGGCTAAGGGTGCCAGTTCAAGCGTCTGCGTGCGCGGCGGGGCCTAAAGCCCTTTTTTTTTTTTTTTTTTTTAATTTAAAACAACTTCCCCCACTAGTGTTAGTGGTGCTGATAAGAGCAGACACCACTAGCACCTGGGGAGAGGCTCCATCTATTGGTGGGGAGCGTCACCTGCTGGAAACCGGGTCCAGCGTCCCATATACAGAAAAAACCCTGGAATCCAGGGGATTGACTGAGCAGGCTATTGGGAAAGGGGAGTAAATCTCTTCGCCCTGAAACGGGCGCCAGATACCTACTACTACAAACTAGTCCCTCTCCCTCCCCTTCTACCCGTTTAGTACCAAAACTTTAAGCCCTAAAGCAAGGATCAGTAATAATCTTTTTTTTTTTTCTTTTTTTTTAACAGAACAGTAATAATCTTCTGATGGTGAGCCATATCTGTCGATGTTTTCATTGAAAAAAAAAAAAAAGAGGAGAAAGAAAAAAGCAGAAAAGTGGAACCAGATGACGATGAGAGGAAGAAGACAAAGGAAGAGGAGGAGAGGAAAAGAAGAATAACAACAACAAAAAGAATAAGAAGAGGAAGAAGAAGAGATTACAAGAAGAATTTGGCACAACCGACGGGCCTAGTAGCTCAGTTCGTACATCCCCCCTGAACGACCTGTTGAAATACAGACCAGGTGCTGAGTTCGAACTCCAGTCAGGTCAAATGACTGAGATACTAAAATTATTCTGAATTACGTAGGGACGGCCAGTTTGATGATCATATCTCAAGGCCGTCGCCCTTGCAGAGAAAAACGAAAAAAAAAAACAAAAGAAGATTCTGAAGAAGAAGATGAATTTGGCACAACAAAAGTAGCCTCTGATCCCAGAGATCTGAAACTCTGGAGACGCCCCTTTGAATCCAGGATCTACCGAACTGGCCCGGGCTATCTGCCGCAGACCAAGGGAGACCGGAAAATTTTCAGATGAAGACATTTTCGAACAGGTGCTGAGCGAGGATTTCTTCTCAGGTCACAGGCTTGTTGATTTGTGAAGGCATAATGAGGGACCATGCCTCAAGGATTTCCTTCCAGATTGGAGACTTGATTCTGCCCTTGAGAATGGAGGGCGTGAGGAGGGGTATCCCGACATCCTCCCTCCGAGTAAGACCCCAATGTTTCATTAAAATCCCCACAGGCAACTCCACCCAGGGGTGGGCAGAGGGCTCTGTGAGGAGCTTAATGATCCACCTTGCTAAGAGCGCATTAAACCACCAGTACCTGGCCAAGCTATGGAGTCCGAGCCTCGGCCGACCGGTAGGCCGATCTGTGCCGAGGCTCGGACTACCGGGCGCAGCCATCCCGAACGTACAACGTACACAACGGAAAAAACGGGCAAAAAAAAACGAAAAAAAACAAAGAAATAAGAAAAACGATCCCAACGTGCAAAAGGTACACAACAAAGAAAACGGGAAAAAAAAACAAAAAAAAACAAAGAAATAAGAAAAAAGAATGGGTTCATCTTGCATCATCGTTTCTCGACGAGAGAGAGAGAGAGAGAGAGAGAGAGAGAGAGAGAGAGAGAGAGGGGGGGGAAACAGAAAGCAGGAATGAATCTTCCCGCTTTCG